GGAGGGGAGATAGATCCACCGTAGGGAGATTGGTGTAGCAGACCTTGGCCGCGGTGAGGGCGGGTGGGAACGCGACGTAGACGCGTCTGCTGTGGTTCCGTGAGGATGGATTCCCTGGTGTCGGCCCCACTCCCTTCCGCCCCCGCCCCCTCAGGCTTCAGTCAATTGTCCGAGCCTGCCACAACCGGTCGGTTAAGGGATTGGCGGATGCAGCGTAAGAACCTGTGTCCAAGGCATGCCACACCGGACTCAGCACAGCCTACTAAATGCATACCGCGAGTCACTCTCTGATGCCGTTTTGTGAGTCATGTACTAACGACAGAATAGGCACCGTAAATACCGCTGTCACTCCGGTTGGCGAACAAGTGTTTTTAAACAGTCTAACGAATAAGTACTTCTTCGCATAGCGGCGGTAGCTGAAGATACGGATCCGGGCCCTTCGAGTTCTTCCGAGGCAGTCGTGCTTACAGCCAAAGGCCGAATCACAATTTGGAAAGTACGTCGTGTACGCCGACTTGGGCTCGCGCATTATATTTCTTGGCGCCTGGGTTGTCCTGTACTTACCAATATGTTTCTCCTGGTGGTTCACCGATGTTGTTAACTAGAATACAAAAGTGGTCAAAAGACACACCAACTCTTCTCTTATCACTGTCTGCCCCGTACTAAGTGTCATTTTTTGAGACTGGAGAGGCTCCTCCTATTTTACTTTCCGTGTTTTTCTGACCAGTATGAGCATATGGCTTGGACTTCCCTCGCGCTTTTTTTCCAGGTAACCCAGGACGGTTATCTCAATCGTTCAGCCGGTGATGGCTCCTTTGATGAGTCAGATGTTTCTGCGCCGATCCTGCATGGAGCAGGTGTCTTCAGTCCGCACTTCCCCAACGAACACGTGTCTCTGCAGGCTTACCTCAACACAGTCGCGGGTGCTGCCTCTACCTCGATGGCAGAAGGCAGTGCGGGGCACCACCAGAAGTCCCGCCATCATTCCTTTGAGGAGTACCGGCCTGCATCTGAGGACTTTGACGCTCTGGAGGCCAGTTTTGGGGCCGGTGAGGCCGCTGAGGACACAGCAACACTCTATGCCGAACTCCAACAGTCTGATGAGGCCTGCACTAACATGAACTCTGGACCC